AATGCTTAATTGGGTTGTGACTGTCTTTTTATTTTTTAGTTGTTAACTTATAGGAAGGGTATGCATACACTTAATAGAATCATTTTATATTTTTGTTTATACTGAATATTGAAGTTTGACCTGAATCTCATTGTTGGTCTAATCTAGTTGGCAGATTTTAATATTTATCAATGCTATACATGTTTAATATTTATATATACTTATAGGTAAAATTAATAAGTGTTCAGTTAGTGTCAGATATGCACCGGGCATTATGTTAAATAAAATGCTATTTATACTCTTAAAAAGTAGCTCTGTAAAGACAAGGATTTTACCTGTTTTGTTTACCTATATATCCCAGAACAGTACCTTGTGTGATAATTATATGTAGAGTATATGCAATTTTACTTTTGAAGTAAAGGAATGTTGTAACCTTCATTTGTGGAACTAGTATTGACACTGTGCCATACAGTATCTCATTTAATCTTTGTGATATCCCTGTGGTAGATTCTAAAATCATTTCCATTTTATATATATTTGAGGTATAGAGAAGTGCTACTGAGGTCACAGACTAATACATGGTAGAGTTGAGATCTGAACTTATTTCTGTGCTTCCAAAGTAATTGTTTTAAACTTGATCATTTTGGTTAAAATTCTTTAGATGTAAGTTCTAGAAATGAACTTGATTAAACAAAAAGGGAGACTTTATTTATAAGGATACAGGGGTATCTTATGAAAGCCAAGAGTTACATATCTGAGCCCAAGATGGGACCAGAATTAGAAACCAAATTGTATAAAAACCCAGGGCTATCTCTCTCTGTAGTTTTCTTAATCCTTCCTCTTCTGTCCTTGGCGATCTTGTGCTAGCTCCTCAAGTAGACTCAGAGATGTCACCAACAGGTTTTTTTCTGAATCCCTGTTCTAAATTGGTAAGACTGGCCAAGGTTGTGTCAGATTCACTCCTTCCTCAGTGAATTCCAAAGTGTGACAATGACTGCAAACAAATCACTTCTGAGGGTCTGTGGATAGCTCTTGAGCTGGCACTGTAATACCCAGTGACATTCTATTTAGTCAAATTGAGTGTTGTAAAAATTCTTTGCCTGTGACGAGTAATAAATATATTTTTACATCACAGCTCAGTGTTTCTAAGATTGAAACCAACCCCATAACAATATTTATTTAGTCTTAGGTTATATAAGACAGTCTCATATTTTCTCATTCTTTCATCTATTAAGTTGAAATAATGGGTAGTGACCTACAAATGGAAAAGTACTGCTCCATTCTACCCCCAGAGGGGCCTAGCTGAAAAAGTGCCCTTTGTTATCCAGTCTGTAGCATTACCTTATGAAGCTGTCTGTAGAAAATGCCTTTGATCATATAAGTAACTGAATCTCCAGATTGACCTACTTTGAATTAAGCTGTGTTCTGTGGAAAGAATTTACTAGTAGCATTTTTCAGAGTGAATTAATACTCAGATTTATATACAGATGACAGATTATAAAAGAACAGTAACAATCTCAGTGTTCAGATCATGTCCCAGTTTTTTTTCCTGCTTACCTTCTTCAGAAGCTTACTTGGAATTCATAACAACATTTCTTTCCTAAGAACTCTGTATCTTTAAAACAGCTTTTGGTGTTTACTTTTAATAATTTGGAAAAAATGATATGAGACTCTCAAGTTCTTATTTTTATTTAGAGAAAATTGAGTTCAGAGAACTAAAACAAAACACCGAACCAACCCTCAGTAGGCCTTAACTTTAGGTTTTATTTCTGAAAGCTAGTAATAATTAATGTAGCAATTATTTGATCATTTCAATCATAAAGTTACATCAAGAATCTGAAAGTAAAGTGAATTGAGCCAGTGAAAATAAAAATCAAATAAAATCCGTTACACTCATCTCTATTTACAGAAGAAATGACTCTCTCATAGAGTGAGAAAGGAGGGCCAAGCCCAAACTCCCACTGGGAAGTAGGATTGGAAAGGGCAAACACTCATAATTCAGCAAAGTATTATATTTATACTATAAGTAGTTTACATTTATACTTTCCTCCTTTCCAAAAAGAGAGAAAAAATAGGGATTTTTATATTCAGACTTGCAAAGTCTCTATCCCAGCTTCTATCAGTTCTATTTTATCATAAACAAATGACAGATGAATGAATAAAGAAAATGTGGTACATATAACAATGGAGTATTACTCAGCCATTAAGAAGAATGGCTTTGTGACATTTACCAGTAAGTGGATGGATATGGAGACTATTGTGCTAAGCCAATCCAAAAAAAAAAAACCAAAAAACAAAGGTTGAGTGTTTTAGCTGGTATATAGAAGCTGACCTACAATGTGTGGGGGGTGTGGGAATAGAAAAAAGTTCAGTAGATAAGACAAAGGGGAATGAGGGGAAGGGAGGGAGGATAGGAAAAGGAAAGACAGTGGAATGAAACTGATATAACTTTCCTATTCTCATATAGGAATATACCACAGTGAGTCTCACCATCTACAAGAATGGGGTCCTAATTAGAATAAGATATTCCATGCTTATATAATTATATCAAGATGAATTCTACTGTTATATATTATAACTAAAAAGGATCAATAAAAAAAGAAAGTTTGTTTTTAATCACCAAATCAACAAGGGGAAAATAACCTTATACTGAGATATAGATATGGGGTTTTCCTGCTGCATTTCTACTCCCATGGACAGCTTGTCTTAGTAAGATTTTTGGGTTCTTTTGTCTCCAAATCAATGATGATAATTTGAATGTTAAGGATCTACCATAACAGAATCTTTAGTCTTTTCTGATATTTGGAATTGAAGCCATGGTACTGAAGTTCTTATACAGCTATATATATAAGAGAGAAGATGGATCTGTTTCCTCTCTTTTGCTTGATTCGAGATGGTAGGAAAGACTGAAGGACACTGCATATCTTCTCCTACATCACTTGGTTGTCTTTTAAAGTATAGAAACTTGACTGTGTTCCAGCTCCTTTATCAGGACATTCCCACTTGTCCCATGTTTACTGCCTACACTTGTTATATTTGTGTCCAGACCTTTTGTTTTTTCTTATCCTGTTGAAGATGTCTTAGAAGTGTTGGTGCTGCTCTCATGGGTTACATTTGCTTCTTATACAGTTGGTGCTGCTCTCATGGGTTACATTTGCTCTTTTGTCATATTGGTCCTAACTTGGGTATAGTCATAACCTTCCTCCCGTATTCCTTTGTCTAAGGGAGAACATTTTTCTCTTGAGGAAGAAGATCTTTCTCCCTCTTTTTTTCCCCTCTTGTATTACTGAGGATTGATCCCAGGGGTACTTTACCATTTAAACATCCCCAACTTTTTATTGTTTTTTTTTTTTTTGAGACAGGGTCTCACTGTGATGCTGAGACTGACATTGAACTCCTGTTCTTCCTACCTCAGTTTCCTGAGTCTCTGGAATTAAGGTGTGTGCCACCACACGTGGCAGATGTATGCCTTTTAAATCTAAGGGGCTTAAAATTTTTTAAACCCTAACTAAGTTATCTCAGTTTTGGTTCTGCTGGAGGGGAAGATATATATATGTGCGTGTATATATGTATATGTATATATGTATATGTATATATGTATATGTATATAGGTTGTATATATATATATATAGTGTGTGTGTATATTTGTAATTTAATAACTTTGCTAGTCTGGTGAGACAGGAACAAAGAAAAGGACATCAGAGGGTAAGTCTTCTCTTACCTCTAGTACCTGTTTATTTAATTCTGAGAAAATCTGCTCTTTGTATGACCTTATTTATGTTGATAGATAGCAGGATATAATCTTCCCTTATCTTGAAAAGTTTTCAGGAGAAATGCTTGTTAGTACATTCATAAATGAAAATGAATCATGATATTATTTTACCTAGGAAAAGGGAAAAAATTTTCTTTGCATACTTTTTTCCTCATTGGACCTTCCTTTCAAACTCCAACTATAAGCAGCTCATCTGTGTATAATAACTGGGGCTTTTATAATTTTATTCTTGAATCTCCATTTAAGTTTTCTGTGGGAACATGCAAGCAGAATGCCAAAGTGATTTACAGACCAACTTTTGGGGAATGCTGCATTCTAAAAAGCAAGATATTTGTTTTCTCTTTGAAACTAGTAAGACTGAAATGTATATTTGCAATGACCATCGTTTGGATTTTTTTTTGTGGGGGGTACCAGGGATTGAACCCAGGGACACTTAACCACTAAGCCACATCCCCACTGTTTTTTTATTTTTTGAGACAGGGCCTTGCTGAGTTGCTTAGAGCCTTGCTAGGAGGTGGCTTTGAATTTGCCATCCTCCCATCTAGGCTTCTGGAATCATTTGTATTACAGGCATGCGCCACCATGCCTGCCTCCAATTACTAATTTTAAATGGAAAATAAATATTGTTAAAGTACTAAGATCTTTTGCTGAACAATACATAGATACCATAAATAGTATTCAAAAGGGGTATGAATGTATTCTGGGACAGCTCTTGAAATAATATTATTGCCCTTTTTTTAACATTTTTTTTTTAACATTATTTTTATGTGGTGCTGAGGATTGAACCCAATGCATTACACATGCTAGATGTGCGCTCCACTACTGAACCACAACCCCTGTCCCCGTTATTGCCTTTTTGATGCCAGTGGAAACCTTATTATCTACTTTATACCTTTTGCTTATAGTTGAATACTTATTAAATTCATCTCCTGCTAGAGTTTGTCAGTGATATTTTATACTTGTTATAAATTTGTTGGTCACTCTTTTTTTTTTTTTAGGTAGAAGAGTAATAAGTACAGACTCTAAATTTATTTCAACTTATTTCTTTGTGTGTGTGTGTATATATATATTTAATAACTTTATTTTTATGTGGTGCTGAGGGTCGAACCCAGGACCTCGCATGTGCAAGGCGAGCACTCCACTGCTGAGCCACAACCCCAGCCCCTGAACTTCTCATTTTGTTTTTTTCTTGACAGTTACTTGAGTAGTAATTTGTCTATTTCTAATTAAGGTTTTTCTTTAATAACAGATTTATACCTAAAACTGGAAGATGTGACCCATAAATTTAATAAGCCCTGTATAATGGATGTAAAGATCGGGCGAAAAAGCTATGATCCTTTTGCCTCATCCGAGAAGATTCAGCAACAGGTCAGCAAGTACCCATTAATGGAAGAGATTGGGTTCTTGGTGCTTGGCATGAGGGTAAGAGTTATTATTGGCATAACTATATACATTTTTCTTTCTGTGTTTTTCCCTTGAAAAATTATGAATATCATTATAATACTAATATATCAGAAGATAATGTTTTGAAATTAGATTATCTATAACTCCCCAATGTATGAATTATATACCTTAGGTAATTAAGGTAGGGATTTTTATCTCTTGTTCACTGATATATGGTTAGTGTCTCTGGTCCTGGTACATAGTAGGTGATTAAATAAATAAACAACTGAACCTCAGCATTATAACTTTGGTAATTTTGTTTTAAAGAAGCTTTAAGTTTAGTTGCAAAATAAACATTAAAAGTAAATGTGATGTTTTGTATGATTTCCCAGAGAATTGTGCTATTTATATATTCAGTAATTTTACTATATTTTTAAAATGGAAAATAAATTAAAATATAGGTTGCTTCAACCTTTGTGGTTTAAAATAGTTGTTTTATTTCCTAATAATTCTGTTGACTGGCATTTTTAGTTTTTGATTTTAACTGATACAAAATAGTTTTACATATATGGCATACCATGTAATGTTTTGATATGTGTTTAATATTCATATCAGGGTAAACATATCTATCACCTCAAATATTTACCTTTGTGGTGAAAATATTCCCAATTCTTTTTTCTAGTTTTAAAAAAATATACGGTACATCATTGTTATCTATGGGTTCCTTTCTATATATTAGAATGCCAAAACTTCTTTTCTCTTTCGACCTTTGGATTCATAGTTCGAGTTGTGGTTAGGGAGATTGTTCTTTCATCGGTTTCACCCACAGCTCCTTATGTGGTTGCTGGTGTCAGATAACTCAACTGGGACTTGCTGGTTTAAAATGACCTTGCTCTTGGTCTACAAGTTGGCACTGATTGTTGACTGGCTTTTATATGTGATGTCATCTGTCAGAAGGCTAGCTTAAGCTTTTTCATGTCACAGTACCACATTCCAAGAGGCACACACCAGCAGGAACTGCAAGTGTTGTTCAGCTGATAGGGTTGGGAAATAGATTTCACTTCTGATGGTGGGAAAAACCAAGTCACGAGTTGAATTACAGACTACACGAGGATGAGAGAGAATTTTTCAGGCTGTTGTGCAGACAGTACCACGCAGTTGGGAAATAATATGGAATAAAATTTTCTAAACAAATGGTATGTCTTCTAGGTGTGTGGAGATAAAATTTGTGGATAATGCCAAATGATTGCTTACTTATATAAACATAATGAAATCATCATGTAAGATAATATGTGAGTCTTTTGCATTTTAAACAGGAGAGCTAATAGGAAACATTATAGGTAATTGTTAGTGTGATAGTTAGTAATAACTGCACAATTGAATTTGATATGATTGTAAACAAAACAAGAAAAATCACCCAAACATTATTTCATTTTAGATAACGATAAATTGTGGGTATACAGAAAAGTAATGGAATAATATTAAAACAAGAAGTAGATATCCCATAGCAATCTGACTGGACAGCTATTTAAACCTCCACTCTTTTCAAATTTCTTACCCTCCCATTTTCTCACTTAGTGGATGACTTTTGTCTTTCACTTTAGAAAAAATAAAAACCATCAGATAGGATTTACCTTAATTTCCTGCTAACAAATATTTATACCTTACCTACAATTGCTGTTTTCCTTGTGTTCCTTCCTGTTGAATTGGAAAATTTTTAATCCTTTTGTCTAAAGGCATCCCTTCTTTATATCCTCTAGGTCTCACTCTCTCCCACTATTGCAAGAGCCTTTATATTTCTGTCCGTAGTTTCTTCAGCGTTTTTAACATGAATGAGTGCTAGAGTTTGCAAGTAGAGATAATTTGACTTCAGAATCTATTAAGATGATCATGTGATTTTTGTCTTTAATTCTACTTATGTGATGAGTTACATTTATTGATTTGTGTATGTTGAATCAATCTTATATCCTGGGAATGACCAACTTGATCATGAAATGCAATCTTCTTTATGTGTTTTAAAATACTAATTGCTAATATTTTAATAATATTTATATCTATTTTTTATAAATTTTATTTATTTATTTAGTTGTAGATGGACAAGAATGAAAACAGTCCTAAAATGTATATGGACTAATAAAAGACCCAGTATAGCCATAACAATTCTGAGCACTATGAATAAGGTTGCAGGTATCACAATATCTGACCTCAAATTATACTATAGAATTATAACAAAAACAGCATGGTGTTTTCATAAAAAGAGATATGAAGATCAGTGGAATAGAATAGAAGACACAAGCAAACCCACACAGGTATAGTCATCTCATCCTTGACAAAGGAGCTAAAAAACAATGTTGGAGGAAAGAGACAGCCTTTTTAAACAAATGGTGCTGAGAAAACTGGATATCCATATACAGAAGAATGAAAGGTGACCCCTATCTATCTCCTTGCACAAAAGTCAACTCAGAATGGATCAAACGCCTTAGAACTACAACAGAAGCTTTGCAACTAATAGAAGAAAACATTGGGTCAACACTCCAACATATAGGCTTAGGCAGTGACTTCCTTAGTAAAAGTTCTAAAGCTCGAGTAATAAAACCAAGAATCATAAGTGGGGTGGATCAAATTAAAAAGCTTCTGAATAGCAAAGGAGATAAGTATAAAGAGAGCTGGGTGTAGCAAAAAATGCCTGTGATCCCAATGACTTGAGAGGCTGAGGCAAGAGGATTATAAGTTGGAGGCCAACCTCAACAACTTGGTGGGACCCTGTCTTAAAAAATAAAAAGGACTCAGGTTGTATATAGCTCAGTGGGGTAAAGTGCCCCTGGGTTCAATCCCCAATACCAAAAAAAAAAAAAAAAAAAAAAAGTGAAAAGAGATCCTTCCTTTTCATATGGGAAAAAAATCTTTGCCAGCTACTTTTTCAATATTTAAAGAACTTAAAAGTCTCAGCACCAGTAAAACATCCCAGTCAATAAATAGGCAAATGAACTAAACAGACATTTCTCTAAAGAAGAAATAAAAATGAATAAGAAATACTTGAAAAAAATGTTCCAAATCCTCAACAAATCAAAACTACACTGAGATTTCATCTCACCATTTAGAATGGTAAACATCAAGGATATAAATAAATGCTGGTGAGGATATGGGGAAAAAGGAACACTTAAACATTGTGTGACTGCAGATTAGTATCACCACTATGGAAATCGGTATGGGTGTTCTTCAAAAGATTGGAATGGAACCATCATATACCCAGTTATTCCACTTTTTGGAATCTATCCCAGAGCTGAAATCAGCATACTGTATTACTGTTTATATTCCAGTGTTTATAGCGGCACAATTCAGTTCACAATTGCCAGATACATAATGTGTGTGTGTGTGTGTGTGTGTGTGTGTGTGTGTGTGTGTAAATTGGAGTTCTACTCCACCATGAAGAAGAATAAAATTATGTCATTTGCTGGCAAATGTATGAAACTGGACATTATGCCAAATGACATAAGCCAGACACAGAAAGTTGTGGGTCAAATCTTGTGTGGAAGCTAGAGAGAAATAAGGAATTTAAAAAGGGGATCTCATGAAAACAGAAGTGAGAACCGTAGAGTAGAAGAAGGGGTTGCAGGGAGTGGGAGAGTGTAGGAACAGCACAATGAAATTGACTGAATTATCCTGTGTAAATGTGTGCATATATTACATTGAATTCTGCTTTTATGTGTAATTATGATATACCAAGTTTTTAAAAAGTTAATAAGTAGAGGGAAGACCAACTAAGTAAAGGGAAGGGGATTGGGGGAGAGAGGAGGGGAAGAAAAAGGGAAATACTAGGGAATGAAAAAGAACAAATTATCTTATATACACGTGAGAATATGTCACAGTTAACCCCCACTGTTATGCATAACCATAACATGCTAATAAAAACAGTAAAAAGGATATTAAACTATTGATCTTCTCTTGTCTTCTTATATCTTCAACTTCTGCCTATCCACTGTCTGTTTTTGGTTTAAATATGTTCAAATCACTCAATTCTTTAAAAAACAGAACATCAAAATCACTCCTGTTGTAGATTTAACTTGTCTCCTTTTCAGAACCAAACTAGTTACTTCAATTTCTTTACTTCCCACTCAGAATCTAGCTCATTATAATCTGGCTTCTGCCCATCATGCTACCAGATTGATCTTCACTAAGGTCCCTAATAACACCCCCATGTCACTAAATTTAAGTAGCATTTTTCATTATTCATTTTACTTTACTTTGAAAAGCAGCCTTCAATATTGGCCAAGTTCTCCTTGAGACATTTTTCTTTGTGTTGGTGACACCCCACCTCCAGTCTAAGACCACTTTGAAATCTCCTTTACCAAAGCTCATTTCTTTCTGTGTATTCTTTAAAAGTTGTGGTAATTTCTTGTTTCCATTTTAATACTCCGTCTCTTTTTTTGTACAGTGCTTTCTGTTCTTTTTGGTTTCACAGATAACTCCCAAATGTGCATATCTTCAACCTCCACTTTGTCTTATATCTTCTAATTTGTGTGTGTAACAGCCTACCAGATGTTTACTTAAACATCTCAAACCCAATACCGACTGACACATTTATCCCTCTCCCAAATGATCATAACAGTAACACCAAATCTCTCTTATTCCCTGTTTAGTGAATGACCTGCCATACATTCAGTCTTACAAAGTAGAAACCTGGTAGTCACTGTCATCCCTCAGAGCCATCTCTTGATTCCCAAACATCTCTTGAGTCTCATTTTCACTGTTGTCCCTCTCTGAACTTTGGTCTCAAATTCAGTTTTGCTCTTTTCTAATTTGCTCTCTAAACATTGTAAAATATATGTCTAATCACAACATTCTCTTGTTTAAAAACTTTTTATTGGGTTTCCATTACCTTTAGTGTACACTTATAGGATAAATAAGTAAGGCATTGTGTAATTTAGCTTTGCTAGGATGTATTGCTTCCCTAGATAAATAAAGGTTTGTTTGCATTTCCTTATATTTTTTAAAAATTTTGTTTGTGGTGCTGGGGATTGAACCCAGGTCCTTGAGTT